ATATTCGATATTAAATATTGAATATTAAAATTTAGGATGTTAAATAAAATTTAGGTCATAATTATATAATAAAATTTACAAAGCATTGCCTTAGATATATTTTTTTAATATCATTTTGTCTCTAATATCTATTTATTTATTTAATTTTTTTAAATATATGTTGGGCCCACTTTGCCCGTTTAGCCCCGCGGGTCGGGGACCGTTTATCCCGGGATCAAACGGTCGCGGTCCCGGACCGGTCCATACAAAAAGCCCGTTTGACCCGGACCCATTTGATCCGTTTAATTTGGGCCCGGGCCGAGACCGTTTGGTCCGGCCCACTTGACTCGTTTAGGCTCGGAACCGGCCCACTTGCCAGCCCTAGTTGGGACTTATGTCTAGATATAGGGGTTTGTTATACTTGTAAATATTTTCCTAGTAACAATAGTGTACTATAATTACCACAAAAAAATCGCATAAGATTCTATTGAGGTTTCACTATATGGTCTTTCTTTTTTCTTTTTCTTAAAGAGTGATTGTTCTAAATATGTTTATTATTTGAACTAGTCAGTTAGTAAAATTATAAAATGAGGGAGCTTTTTATAATGTTGAAAACGTGGCTTGTTTGGAGAATAAAAGTCCAACGTTGGAAAATTGAGGGAAAATGATACCACATGACCGGTCGGTTGATTAATCAAGACAAAATGGCCCAACTCACAACTTATTTGAACTTCACGTATATGGAGTAGCATATGTTACTACATTCAGTTCCCCTAGGATATGTAATAATCTTGTGTACGTTATTCCACAACTCCTATGATCATTAAAATTGAATTTATTACGGTTTTCCTTACCGATGAACAACAGAACAAGGTGGTCCAATGAATAGGAAAATAGAAAATAACAAAAAAGTTAAAATTATCTAAACAACTTTCGATTGGTACAAAATATTATGAATACACAAAAATTCAACAGGAAAAAAATGACACTACTTAATTTAAACTAGACAAGTTAACGTGTTGGTCTTTCACAATCTTGTGATCACCATAATTAATGCACGGTTAGGAATAGTTTATTAATTGGCCAATCACCTTAAGTCTACAAAAACAATTAATTAGACTCTGTCATGTTTAATTTTTTAATTATTGTCTATAATATGAACTATTCTTTCTTTTCTGCCGAGTCCCATTTGTCATCAATGGAAGAGAAGATGATGTCCATACTATTATTGCTACTACTCCCAGAAAAATTAAACATGGCGTCCGCCATATCCACCACCGGCAGCTGATAGTCAACTTCCCTCCCATATCTACCACCGGAGGGCCCCGCGCTGCCGCCGCCGGTGCTCACCATATTGCATATGCTAGCTAGTGAACCACCAATACTGTGCCCAAAATCCCTGTAAAAATAGGAATTTATAGCTTTAAGGATAGGTTCAATTGAACTCACTATATAATAAAAAAATCATTAAAAGCGGTATAACTATTAAGTTTTGAACCTACTTTTCTAAAAAATAAAATAAAAAATTAAACCTAGCATATTTGGCGAAGCTTCTAGTAAGTCAAAAGTGTTTATGGTAGAGAATATTTGAGGTATTTAGCTAAGTTTTTCGAAAAAAAGAGAGGCTTTTAAGTAGTAGCATAAATATTTGGTTTTCGGAAGCTAAAAAAAGTAGATTTTTCCTGAATCATTTTTGAACTTTTGTCCAAGGACAAATTGCTATTTTAATATTGGTAAAAGTACTTTTTAAACTTAAGCTTAGACAAAACGTTATAAATAACTAATCCCAAATCCACCTCTATCTACGTACATATATATATATATATGTACCTTTGTATGTCAAATGGAATAGTGCTTGTGCCTTGATCTCTTTGTGGCTTAATATCCATGGAGAGCCAATGCGCGCTTAAGGAGGCTGAAGTTGGTGGCGGCAACGGCAGATGTGGTGGAAGGGTTGTGGTGGTTTGACGAGTTATCTCTTCCACTGACGGAGGAGGCACAGTGGGAGCTGTGGCGGACATATAGCAAGTGTGTTGAGATCGGTATGTTACTTCAAATACGTAAGGATCATCGTCAAGGCGCTGGACTTGCTTTTTGGCTGGACAATTGTATAGCTTTTGGTGGGTGCATCTATAATAAGCCCTAAAATCATCAAAATTGTTAGTACATAGTTAATGGATTTAAATGTATAGTAAACGTTAATGCATGGTGTATTTTTGCAAGGAAGTTACACTCGCAGTCAATTTACAAATTTTCTTAAATGAAACACTAGAGTAACTTTGTATCTTAAATCTCTGTCCCAACTATGTGACACTTTTTTATTTTTAATCGGTCCAAAAAAGAATGATACTTTTTTATATGTAGTAACAATTCAACCTTAAATTTCTGTTTTTACCTCTTAATAAGATGATTTCTACCATACAAATTTCTATGGTTATTTTTATCATAACTTTCAAAAGTCTTTATCTTTTTCTTAAACATTGTGCCTTATCAAACACCTTCATATAAATTGAGACGGAGAGATTGAAAAAAAAAAGTAGAAAATACTCCATCACGAAAATAATAACAAGAGGATTTAATGGTAGTTAGAATGCATATCATTCTAGAATTCGTGAGAAGTCTAAAGGGTCAAAATATCCCACTGACTCCAAAAATTAAAACAATATTGGTCAACTGTCAAATATCTAATACTTTGTTTACTAAATATACGAATAGACACTGAGAGAAAGATCTATAAGTTCAAACTGATTAGAGTAGAATAGTAGTATATATATATATATATATTATTTTTATTCTTTTCTGGCTTAGAGTAAGTAATCAAGACTAGTTCTCTATATATGAGGAATCTTTTAGTTTTTAATCTCCCACTTCTCATCCCAATTAGTCAAAGTTACGTTGTTCAAACTGACTATTTCTAGCTTGAATTTCTATTTCAATTCAATGGTCTTGTACTCGGTGAAATATAAAGATCTATGTAGTTATATGGTTGACCTCTTCAAATATTACGGAAACAGCAGACAGCTTGGCCCTTAGATTTTCACCTATTTAGTCGCATATGGAGTACTAATTATAACTGAAGATTAAAGAATAAGAAAAAGCACATATATACTACTCCCTCCGTTCCAGTTTATGTTAACCTATTTTATTTTTCATCCGTTCAAAAAAGAATGATCCCTTGTTAAATTTGGAAACAATTTAGTTTAAACTTACAATTCTACCCTTAATGGGAAGCTTTTATAACCACACAAATACTCTGGACCTCTTTTAGATTTGTTTAGGACCACAAATTTTAAAAGTTTTCATTTTTTCTTAAACTTTGTGTTTAGTCAAAAAGATTCACATAAATTGTAGTATAACTAGCAAATTATAAATTAAAGTATGAAAATTAACCTTGGGAACCTAGAACCAAGGATCTCTTTCTGACCATATTTTCTCCAAGTAAAACCATCCTCAGGTGGAAGTTCAAGATTTCCCATTCTAGGAGCAGCCACACTCACTGTTCTTCTGTCTGTATCACCCGTTCTGCACGTTCATCAAATTTGCAAACAAAAACTATTTAGCTACTTAGAATTATAGGTAGTATAAATAAATGTCCCATAATATAAAACGTTTGTTCTAGTTAGACACTGATTAAAATTAGAGCACGCAGAAAAAATATTCATTTGCATTATGCGGTCGATTTCTTTTCGAAGTCAACATCTGATTTTGCTTTATCCGTTAACCAGTACAAGAACATGTCGATCTTATTAGTAATGATGGTTTACTGACCTATAATTAATAATGCTCCAGAAACTCTAAAATGATTTTCTGCATTTTGTAATTACATGCAGAAAATATGTCTTGTGTAATGAAAGCCGTACAATCAATGACAAGATCGCGGATAATACAATTTTCGAATGTGAATACTAAGTAAGGGAAACTCTTATCTGGGAAACTTGGAAAGTGTTGCCATTCAGATTATGTAATCTGGTGGTTGAACTTTATTACGTGCACGGTGTAGAAACATTTACATGATTAATTTCTATATACTATGTATTAATGAATGTAATTTTGACCTCGTACGTTTGTTGCAAAGTACTGCCACTTAACACGTTTAAAGTGATTCTTAATTAGCATAAACCTGATTTAGCATTTCACATTGCATGGGAAACGGATTATTATATACTCCCTCCGGTCCACTTATTAAGTGACTTTTTGATTTTTTTTTTTTTTTCGTGATCCACAATATTTGATTTTTTTTAGATATCAAGAATGAATTAATTTTTTCTTTTCAAAGTTGCCCTTGGAGTAAAGAGCCTAAGAGTAGTTTGTTATATTTTCAACGAGCAAATTAATGTTAATATGATCAATTACATTGTTAATTAATGCTAAAAGGTGAATTGGAATATATGTAAATAGATTAAAAAAAAATCATTAAATTGGACCGAAGATAACATAGAATATAATTTCTTTCTAGTAGCCGTAGTAGTAGTATTTAGCGTAAGCAGTTTCCATAAAAAGGTAAGCTTTCTGACTTGTAATAGGAGTGCTACGAGACTGAACTCAATTACACGCATTTCAATTCTTAACACGAAACTCCAAAATTATGCAAAAACTACATTATTAAAATGTTGTGAGAGAAGAAGGTCATCTGAAGTCCAATAATGTGGTACAGTTTTAATTTCTCCCCGAGCTTGTGGTGATTCTTTTTAAGAAGATTAGCAAATCCTGAAATCAATACCCTCGTAGCACCGTGGTATTGTGAATACTGAATATATCACTCATACATTTATCAATTTTAGGTACCGTATATATCTTCTCTTAAGATTCATAAATACGAAATTGTGATTTTTTCCCATTTTTTTAACTCATGAGTTGTGACACATAGATGGGATGATGGAAAAGCTCTTTCATGTTCATCTATCTATATATAGTGAAATCCTCATATTCAAAACAAACTGGAATAAATAATTTAAATTTCATTTTCCTAGTGTTGGATTTGATGAGCAAGAATGTTTGTTTTTCTTCTTCTTTCTTTCCTATTTGCCAAGGAATTTCTAATGATACCTTTTTGCTTTTGTTTCTTCTGTGCAGCATATTATTTAAGCTTATGACTAGAAGACCTCATTGTGACGTGAACCGCTATATCTAGTCATGCTAAAATAATTTTATACAAATTTCTGTGCATACACATTATTGTCCCCTATAAAGTGCACATTTATTAAGTTAATTTGAACTTACATAATGATTTCCTTTTCTTGGTAATTAACGAGAAACTTGGAAGAAAATCATTGTATGTTGACATTTTTATACTTAGTGGTAGCCCTGCTGTTTAGAAAGTTCTGTGGAATTTATTTGGAAATTTGATAAAGCAGAGATAGAAATCTATTTAAAAACTCTTTCTCATGTTCACAATATAAAAATGAAAAAGATATCTACTGTACGTTGTACGCGCACCCCTTTCCGCTGATGTTTCATACTATAATCAGTTGCATAGCACTAATTAAGGGCCCGTTTGGTTCGTGAGCTAGTTTTGCAGGAATTATAATGTAGAGATTTTTAAATATGTTGTGAATGATAATTTTATGTGTTGATATTATTATGCAAGGAATAATAGTACACGAATTGTAATGAGCGGGTACGTTAAGGGCCTTTTTGTCTTTAGTTATTCTTAACGATATACTATTACTAACACACGTATTCTTATTCCATATTTTATCCCACATGAAATAATAGGCAGATTTCTTCATAACTTTACAAGTATTAGTAATGGGGAATTTAAAGAAGAGCAACCCTCAGAAATCACGAGGCAGTTATTTTTTCTTGTACGACCAACCAATCATTATATTGCAACTTATAATTTTATATATGCTGGAATTGTTGGTGTTAATGCAGTAAACCAAACAGGCACTAAGTTAAAAGCTGTCAAAAGAGTGAATTTTGTTACCTTCTTCGTTGCCTTTGAGAAGAAGAAGAAGAAGAACCACCTGCTCTACTCGAATCAGATACACCCATTTGATCGCTTTCCTGCGCCGGCGGCAGCCCATGCACGGCAAATGCCGCCGTCGCCGGCCTCTCACCCAACATCTCTGCTGCATGGAAAAATTCTAGTGCCTGCTGCTGCTGCTGATGATAATAGCTCAATCTTTCCTTTACATTATTAAAAACCGCCACGATCTCTTCTGTTTTATTTAAAGTGAACTGGGGTTGATTTGCCCAGTTTTGCAAGTTGGCTTCGAGCTCCTTAGCCAATTTACACCCATAAAGGATTGTAGCAGTTGTCTCGTCCATATATATATAACTTGGCTGTTTTTCCTTTCAAATGTTTTAAGGGTGTTTGGTTCAAGACAACATGAGTATATGTTTAAAAAAAAAAAAAGGAAGTGATTTGAGGAGAATCTAAGGGAAATGGGTGGCCTTCCTATATACTTATGTTGGTGCTGGTTAATTTGAGGAAAAGAACAGTGTGTTTTCAAAGTATTTGTATGTGTTAAACACGGTAAGCATACTAAGATTTCATAGAAAAT